AGCGCTCGGGAGGCAGAGGCAGGTGGATCTCTGTGAGTTCGAGGTCAGCTTGGGATTCAGAGCAAGTGCCAGGACAGCCTCCAAAGCTACACAGAGAAATCCTGTCTCAAAAAGCAATAATAAATAAATAAATAAATAAATAAATAAATAAGGAGGCACATGTCCTCAATCCCAGTACTCGAGAGGCAGGGGCAGAAGGATCTCTGAGTTTGAGACCAGCCTGGTCTACAGAGTGAGTTCCAGGAGAGTCTCCAAAGCAATACAGAAGAAGCCCTGTCTTGAAAAACTAAAAGAAAATCTTTCTGGTTTCATTTTTTATAAAGAAAATAGGTTTGTATGTATTCAAAAAAGCCTTTAACATTAGCAGGGCAGTGGTGCACACCTTTAATCTCAGCACTTGGGAGGCAAAGGCAGTTGGATCTCTGAGTTTGAGGCCAGCCTGATGTACAGAGTACCAGGACAGCTGGGTGTATGTAGAGAGAGACTGTCTTAAAAACTACAAAAAAAATTGTTTGAGCGATAGGAATATTGAGTTGTTTGTAAGGTTTTGTTTTTGTTTCAGTGACCAGGTCTCACTATGTAGCCCTAGCTGGTCTAAAATTCACTATGTAGACCAGGCTGACCTCAAATTCACAGAGATCAGCCTGCCTTTGCCTCTGAAATGCTAGGATTGAATGTGTGTACTACCAAGCATGGGTAGAGCATTTTCTAAAACAGTTTTTGTTGTTATAAAAAATGTTTAGAGGCTGGAGACATGAGTCAGTGGTTAACAGCAATTGCCACACAGATTGAGGACCAGAGTTTTGAATCCTCAGAATCTACACAAAGCCAGGTGTGGTGAGTGGTATCTACAATCCCAGTACTCTCCAGGGTAGAAGTGTGGCAGCAGCAGGTATCTCAGAAGCCAGCTAGCCTGGCTGTGTCAAGAGCAAAACAAAAGATGCAACCAGCAGTGGTGGCACAGGCCTTTACTCCCAGCACATCTAGAGATAGAGAGAAGCATATTTCTGTGAGTTTGAGTCAGCCTGGTCTACAAAGCGAGTTTCTGGGACAGCCAGGGCTATGTAGAGAAACCCTGTCTCAGAAAAACAAAACAGACAAACAAACAAAAAACCCAAGAGAAGGCAGTCTAAAGGAGAAATACCTGAGGTTACCCTCTAACCCAGAGACAAACACAGCCAGACACACAAGCACATGTCCACAGTCACATGCACAAAAGTTATTTTTAAGTTTATGATAAGATTTATTATAGTTTTCCAAACAGAAAAAATAATTTTCCTGATACCATCAGATAATTGTAAATATTCTTTTAAAAATTATAATATATTCATTATATAAAATGGTGGATTTTACTATGACATTTTCATCTGTGTATATTGTTCACTTTGCTCATAACCATGACCTGCTTATCTTCTCTTGTCTCTCTTCTCTTATTGGTCTCCTTCTTCTCTTTAAATAGCCCCTTTTCTTCCACACACACACACACACACACACACACACACATAGAGAGAGAGAGATGGAGGGAGAGAGACTGATTTCACATAAGACAAAATTTGTAACATTTGTCTTTCTGACTGGGGCTCATTTCTTTAACTTGATGACCTCCAGTTTCATCCATTTTCTAATAATTGACAAGATTTTTTTCCTTTTTTAATTTTTTGTGTCTAGAATATGTATGTGTGTACATGTCCAGAGCGCTTAACACACACACACACACACACACACACACACACACACACACACACGGCCAAGTATTCTGTTCTGTGCAGTTGCATTGGGAGTCCGGAGGCTCATGTTGTGAAACATTTTGCAAACACGTGTCTACCTTATTTTTTATTACATTTATTATTTATGCACATGCGTTACAGTGTATATATTGAAGTCAGGAAAACTTGCAGGAATGGATCTCTTCTGCCATGTGGTTCCTGGGTATCAAACCCAGGTCATCAAAAGTAAAAGCAAATGCCTTTACTCTCAGGTTTGTTTCCATCCCTACCTGTTTTTTTTTTTGACATGGTCTTTTTTTAACATAGCATATTTTAATGGAAATTCTTAACAATTTTATATAGAGTTCAGTAAATACAGTGTCCTCTTTCAGAGAAATATTTTTCTTTAAAATTTCTATCTTTCAATAAATTTATTTTACATCCCTGCCACAGTTTCCCTTCCCCACCTTGCAGTCCCTCCCCTCATCCCTCCTCTATTCCGACCTCCTAAATCCACTCCTCCACCACCATTTCTGTTCAGGAAAGGGCAGGTCTCCCATGAGTATCAATAAAACATGGCATATCAAGTTGCAGTAAGACTAAGCACCTCCCTGTGTATTAAGGCTGGGCAAGGTGACCCAGTATGAGTTGGGTCCTAAAAGCCAGTAAAAGAGTCACAGACAGCCCCTATTCCCACTGTTAGGAGTCCCACAAGAGGACTAAGCTATACAACTGTAACATGTCTAGGTCAGTCCCATGCAGGCTCCCTGGGTGTTGGTTCCTTTGTGAGCTCCTATAGGCCCAGGTTAGTTGATTCTGTCAGTTTTCTTGTCAAGAGACATAGGTGATTGATTACTGAGAGCAGCCAATGTAGGGTGAGTTCCTTTAAACAAAGGAATACTTTACTTTTTAAAGTTATTTTGAAACCTATTTGGTGAGCTGTCCTCTATTTGGAATTTGATAGCAAGTCAAATTACTTTTAGACCCCGTAATTAGAAATATAATCTAAATGATCCAAAAGTATAATTTAAACGAAACCCTAGCAGTAAGAGTGAGCCATGACATAGTTTTGCCTATAGTGGGAAACTCAAACATTTTAAATGCCAGGAGACTAAGGAATTTTTGCATTACTTAGCATACTTTATCAACCTTTTTTTATTAAACAGAAAAGGGGGAATATGCCAAGGGCTGTGGGAATATACAGCAGTATTAACTAGTATTTAACAGGGCTATCCACTAGACATTGTTGGGGAGCCCTACTTGGCAAAGGCGTAGGGTTATTCACTATGAATGACTGGTTTTTCCAGTCTGTAACATTCTCAGGTGCCATTATTTACCTCCCAAATAAGAACAGCTGTGGAGTTCTTTCCACAGCCCTTTCATGTGGTGCATTTTACACTTGTTGGGCACACATATAGCTGTGGATGGTCAGAAGGATGATTTCTGCTTCAGCTGTATAAATTTGCTGAGTGGAAATAATAGAATATTTTACTCAGGCTGACACAGGATTCTCAGTTACAAAGACAGCCTTTCACACAGACGAGATGACTTTAGACTTCAGAACAGATCCAAAGCAGGCTGGTTGCTCCTAGAGACAAAAACAGGAGGTCATTGTCCCAGGTTGTGTTTTACTGTTCCAAGGCCACTGCTTGAAGCATCTTTAGTCTGTAATACTCCCTACCACTCTAGGTACAGCTAATTAATTGTTAATTCTTGATTTTCAATGTCATTTCTTTTGGTCAGGGAACCCTCACCAACTTAGAGCTACATGCATGGGTCAGTATGACATTTCTGCCCTGAGAGAAACTACATGATTTATTATGTGTTGTGAGAATGGGCCAGGTATTGCATGGGAATCAAGATTCACTTAGACTCAGTCCAGGTTAAGTGAAGTTTATTCAGGAAGAATACACTTACACAAGAGGCGGTGACTGCCACAGGTTCCAGCTCCAAGGATCCTCACAGGCTGTTCCCTGTGACCTGACCAGCTGCAAGAGAGAGTTCTGGAGTCCTCGGCCCCAGATCTAGTCCTGTCCTCCATCACATCCTCACCTGTGACCACACCCACTTGGAGGATAACAATACCAGACAATACTAGGGTAGGTAGGAAGTTCAGGCAAGCAACTTCCAAAGGTGCAGTGAAGA